CCTGGTAAGAACCGAACCAGCTTTGTAGTACCCCCGAGTTCACCCTGCAGCTACCTGGATCAGCCTGGACCCTGATGTGTGGGCTGAGCCTGTGTTTTAAATACACTGAATGTGTTTCTTACCAACAGGTGTTGCAGCCTTAGACTCCGAGGTGTCAGGAAAGATCGGTCTGCGAGCTGTCGTTTATTACTTCTCAACAACTATCATTGCGGTTGTTCTTGGTGAGTCACATTTGAATTAATAATTCGTTTTATATGCAGCGTATAAAACGAATGGTTGTAGCTACTAAGTGGCATCTTTGTTGACAGGAATTATTCTAGTGATGACCATCAAACCGGGCGTGTCTCAGACAGCTGAGCACATCGACAGAGCTGGGACTCCTCCTAATGTCACCACAGTCGACACACTGTTGGACCTGCTCAGGTGAGTTTCTAATGGAAATGTTTCGGGAATATCAGGATGGAAGAGAAGAGTTGCATCTTTCTTTGATGGCCTGAAACAGAAACTTTCATCATACAATATCCCAACAAACACTGTTTAGTTGGTTCGGGTAGCGTCGTACTAGCATCCTTTATTGGTGTCAGGTTACATCTCAGGTAAACATGTAGGACGAGTCACTGCAGCGCTACGCTGCCCTGTCTTTGACATGCTTGGTAAGTTATGACTAATTCTGACATTACTGTTACTGATGTGGCTCAACTATGACAGAGTCGTGCAAGAAGAAAAGCACGGACTTAAAAAAGATCTTTAATGCACACTATGAGAGTTTATATTTGAGGCATGGTCTTTATTAATAGCTGCATTCATGAAAAGTATGTTTTGCTAGATATTTAACTTCAGAGTTGCCACAGAGATGCATCCGTTCTGCTGCTCACCTGCAGCTTTGTGCTTTCCACTGACAGAAACATGTTTCCTGAAAATCTGGTGCAGGCTTGTTTTCAGCAGGTAAGACGACCACACATCCTGTTATTCTAGCCTACCTTCGATTCTGGTGCTTGTCATCGTGTGATTCTGACACTGTGTCCAATTCCACTCTAGTACAAAACAAAACGCAAAGAACTGGAGCCTGAAAAGCTTCCAGTGAACAGCAGCACAGTGCCCCCTCTCACGACCACGATCATGACTGTGATGGAGGTAGGTGTGCTCGTTCCACTGTGGTGACATTAGTCTCATGTGTCGGCAGCTGGCAGCCAGTGTGTCGTTTAATGGATTGGCTCAATAACGAGTTATAAGCAGGCTGAGCTCAGGCAGCTGTGGTGCTGACATGACACTTGCAGAGCTCATGAGTGGATCTGTGTGTCTGTGGAAGCAGCTTTCATGAATGGTCTTTCCCTTCTCTCGGCAGAACATCACAAAGGACTACAAGATCGTCGGCACGTACTCCGATGGGATCAATGTGTTGGGGCTCAT